TGTATGAAGTATACAAACGCTTACGGCGGATGAACTAATTGCTGCTGTTTCATCTCTATACGAAGAAACCAGTAAAAAATTTATCTAACGTTCTTTTAAAAAAATTTTGGTTTCATAAAGGCTTGTTTACACGGGGACAGGAGGTAAGTGGTAACTAAATTTTAAGTTACTGCTTTTTCTGCAAGTACTGTACGCACTGGTAAGTTCTAAGATTAGTTGTTGGTAAGTTCTAGTGCAGTTTATATATTTGCAAACCTGACGAGATGAATGTGAGGCAGCAATTTGTAGAAGAATTTAATGGCATACTACGCAATATCCTAAATATTATATTGGAAGAAATAAAAGAAGAAATATATGAAGAGAAAAATAGACCTAAACGACTTTGGGAAGCGAAAGTGGATCAGCAGGTGGGAAAAGTTCTGTGCAATTCGTCAACTTGCACCAAAAAAATAGAATAAATTCTATTCCAGTGTATTAAATTTTTACTTGCTCCATAACTTGTTACTTACCACATTTGCGCTGTTCAAATAGGTTCAAGTGACTTAGTTTAGTTAAAATTTAGTTGACTGTTTCCGTGTAAACAAGCCATAAGAGAAATGAAGCTTTACGCATTGTGGTTAAGTTGTGTAAGTTTTAAGATAAAAACATATTGCATTGAATGACGAGAGAGACGCATAATGACAATATTGGCATCAATGTATTTTTTCAAATCTTTGATGAATAATTATTAAGAAAAAGAAAGAAAGAAAAAGATAAAATTAAATTAATTAATTAATTAAAAAAGTAAATTATATAGTTATCGGTCTAAAATAAAAACAAATCTATATACTAACTATTTTGAATGTATCATTTTTGTTATGTACTTTGTTTTTAAAGGCGGAACATTTTAGTGAAAAAATATAAGAGACTGAACAGTTTCCGAGTTAACCAGATTTTAAATGGCAATTTTTGAATTGAAAAGTTTCAATAAAAAATGTCAGTAAAATATACAATGAAATGAAAACAACGTTAAGGGTTGTAATTTTCAACTCCTTTCGAGGAGCAGATATGATTAAATATCGGTGTAGGAAATCCTCTTCTACGTTTTTAAATTATGCGAAATACAACATAAACTGAATTCTGACCTACGCCTTCAAAAGATGTAGCCCCGATAGCTGACGTTTTTGAAATCGCGCCTTAAAGTTTACCCAATATCTAAGAAATACCCTGTTACTAGAATTGAAAATCTTCTAGATCTTTTACTATTTAGTATTAGCAAAGTAAGATTTTGCATACATACGAAGTAGAGTATTTACTTTTTGTTTAATATTTAAGAGTAATGTTTTCTTTAACATTTACGGTGAACAGTGGACATTTATATCTATAATACAGCTTTTTATATACGGATCTACAGTGATATACCTTGAATTTGGGCCACTGTCATATTTTTATTGGATATTGTTGATAAAATCTGCTTTTACAAAAAATAATAGACACCAGAAAGGCCAATATAGCCTTCGTATTTTCATTTAACAATACGGATTTCCGGAACTATGCAGGCAATACAGAGTACATTAGGATTAAAATTCTGATATCCATACATATTATTTTGAAAAATTTTAAATACATTGGTTAAATGGTTACTTTACATTTATAATTTTCTCTATATAAAAAATAAAAAGTATCTGATGCAATATCCTCAGAATTTATTGTAAGTATCAAATTTATTAAGCAGTGTTTTTTGCAGTATTTTTTTTCATACCAATGCATAACCATTAATTTCATGTTTTCAATTGTATATAATTTTATTGTTTCCTATTGTGATATTAATCGACTACAAATAAAAAAAAATAAATTATATACGCATTTAAAAATACAAATTCTACTATTGTAATAGAATTGAACCTACTCAACTTTATTTTCGATTTCATCATCTTTAAACTAACACAGAAAGGGGAGGAACCAATCACGTTTCGAGTAAATCACTTTACTATTTAGTTTTTTTTTTAGAGCTCACTTGTTTTCAATTCATTTATAACTAATAATTACACAGCCCCACAAAAATAAAAAAAGGATCGGATCTAGTATTCAGACCCATTTATTTCCATGTATTTTTTTCCGTTGAATCCGAATCTGCCTTCAGATTTGGCCCAACGAGTTTTCGGGAAAATTTAAAAAACAGGTCAAAATTTACAGAAAACTACTATCGACGAAAGTTATAAAAAATCAAACTATTCTACCAGCTCACTAGACATATGATTTTTCACTCGTTTAATTCCAATTTATCATCATAGAGTCAGATAAGCTGGTCCAATTTCATTCAAAAATATATTAAAATGTTTAAAAACGCAATTTTCATGGCATAATTCGTGTTGCAGAGTTCTGGATCCATCTTTTTATCCACCCACCCATTTATGAATTCATACATCTTTCTATCCAGTCGTTCATGCATGAATACGCATATTTATTCATCCACCTGTACCACCTATAAAACCCACCCGTCCACCCAACTATCCATCTACTTTTTGTGCTGAAAGATGAGATAACAGCCTAGAAGATTGAGAATGAAGAAAGTGCAATTTGTAATTCATCAAACATCCCAGATCTTGGAAGTCTTTTATCATTTTGTTTATCATTAGAGTCATTTAGAAGATCAAATTCTGATTGATTTGAAGTCAAGCCATTTGACCGACAATACGATTGACAACTAACCCTAAGGAGCAGTGGTAAATGAAGCAAAAACCGACCCAGACTTGTAAGCCCAAGAGAATTAAAGGGGCAAAACGTATTTATTTATCGAATAACTAAAGCAACATTCTTAATTATGTATTATCCGTTACTATAAAGTTCAAGGGCAGAAATCAAATCAAACGTTTCGTACGCATGATGAAATCCTTAAATTATTATATAGTTGCCAAATCACTAATTTGAGGACATATCTAGTAAATCAATATGTTAAATAGTAGCAGTTGTTGATATTACCGAATATGTTCTATTCTGTTTATACTCGTATTAACTTAAAATTCTTTGTTTATAAATACTGGTACAGTCACGTACCTAGTGCAATTGGAGTTTCATACCTAAACCATGTTTATCAAAAAAAATATGTAGGCTTTTTTATTCAGAAAAAATTAATTACTAAGCGCCATTTTGACTGCGCAGTTATATTCCTATTTGATCATCCAATTTAAAAATAAACTTCAAGACGCAAAAACTTGCTGTGTATATTTTGTGGAAAGATAAACCTATTATTTATGTAAATGTATGGATAGTTCATAGTGTATCCAAATCTCACATATTAATAGGATATGAGTAGGTAATAAAAATACTACTCCTGAAGTTAATCTTGCTTGAATAAAACATTATATTCAGTACTCTTTTGCTTTCTTTAAATGAATTGGTAATTCCCAAAAAACCTTTTTTTACTGGACGAGAAAAGTTGGTCAAAAATATGTAACTATGATAAATAAAAATAAGAAACGAAAAATTATTTCTTTGTAAAAATTTCCAAGTCATATTTTTTGAAGATTAATTGATGATACTATGTAGGAGGTGCGGTGCCAAAAAGATCCGAATCCCATAATAACTTTTCAGGATTGATGCTTTTGAAAAAGACTATCAAATAAAAGTTGTAAGACATCCAGACACCAATATTCTAGTGACCCTGGATTTGAACTTGATTTTCAACGTCAAAGCAAGGTTAACTAGAAAATGTTAAATTGGACACCCTATTTTTTATATCAGCAAGCGATGACGCACCTAATTTTACATGCGAATATGTCAAAAAATGTTTCCTGTATACCCCTGCAGGTCTTTTAGACGTCAAACTTATTTTTTTCTGAATAATTCGACAAAAATATTGCAAGCAATATCTTTTAGTCTAAGAGATTGGTGTCAAAATTCCTCGTGATTGGACTAATGGCCAATGTTGTTTTTAATGTGTTGGTCATATGTTGTATAACAGGGTTTCAGAATTTACCCCTTGTTGGGCAGGAGTTGGGGGTGCGGGGGTAAATACGAAAATCGCTCCGTGATCTGATTAATGTCAGCAACTCATAAAATATATTCTAGACCTTCGTGGGAGTACGAAAATAAAAGTTGCTGACAGTCTAGTTGGGACAGGGGCGTTTAAAACGGGGTAAAATGTACCACTTACGAGGTGTGACAATTAAGTAATGAGACTGATCCCATAAAAACCGTATATTTAAACATTATTCTACAACTCTGCCATCCCCTTCAAATTAGTCCCCTTGGGCAGCTATACAACTATTCCAGCGCGATTTCCACGCTTCGTAACATTTCTGGAACGCTTCGACTGGGATGTCCGCGAGTACCCTCGTCACGGTTTCTTGGACGTCCGTAACCGACTCAAAATGGGTTCCTTTGACCACCGATTTTGTTCTAGGGAACAGAAAAAAGTCACATGGTGACATATCGGGCGAATAAGGCTGCTGTTGCAACATGGTGATCCCTTTAGACGCCAAATACTGGGACACGCTGAGGGCGGTGTGGCACGGCGCGTTGTCGTGTTGAAGGATCCAGTTGTTTGCGATGTCTGGGCGCACCCTGTTGACTCGTTTTCGCAATCTTTCGAGTACTTCGCGATAGTAGACTTGATTTACGGTTTGCCCCGGCGGAACAAATTCTTTGTGGACGATAGATTAGGGTGGAAGAATGTAGGCTTGGTTCAATGTGAGAGATTACCGGTTGGCATTTAACCACCCCCCTAATTAATGAGGTTTTCCAGGTTTCCCTCATTCCTGCACTGAATGGTGGTTAGGGCCTACCAACATAAGTCGTTCCTGGGCGCAAATGCGGTGTGCTTAATAATAATATGCCGCCTCCTCTCCCGCACAAGTCTCCGACTTCTGGGCTAATTATCGTGGTTAGAATGAGGAGTAGAGATATTATTATTATATTATTATTACAAGCGTTTCAATTTTTGTGAAATTAATACATAAATTCTAAATTACAAATAAATCGTTACATTAGGTAGTAATTCATAATAATGCATTGCTTACCTAGACATCTTATCGACGCCCAAGAACACGATAATGAAAGCCACGAACATGCAGGCGAGGTACACTCCTGAGATGAGGTTTATTTTGGCGGAAGATGGTGGTGTTAAATTGGGATTGGCCATTTCAGCCGCAGTGCTGGGGCAGAAATTTGCTCCACATCTATCTCCCGTATCGGTATTGACTAGAACGCTGACATTATTACTGATTATTTCCTTGAAAATCGCTGTCATATTTAGTGTGGTTTCATTTGATGTTGATCCAGGTACGTCTTCGGATTCGCCTGATGAAAGCACTGCAGGCAATAAGAAATTAATTAATGCTGCTATTAATATCAATTATAATTTTTTGATTAATTGAATCATTATAGTGATTAAATAAGTTGATATTATCTGTGGAAAAGTTTTGCGTTTCACTACATCAAATCACTTCTGAAATATATTAGAAATTTCACAGAACATTTGTTACATTTGCTATGAAAATATAGGGGTAAGTGTCAAAATATAATAATTTTGGACATTATTTTACTCCAAACTGCGGCTGAACGGATGTACAGGGTGGGCTCTTGAAACGCAACAGAGGGAAGAAAGTAAAAAGTAGGTTTTTTTATTAACAACCTGTATCTCCGAGACTAATCTGTCAAATTAAAAAAATTAAACACGGTTGTGTAACAAGAAATTTATTTGTGAAGATTTCACTCTTCGAACAAAAATCTACCTGTCTCGGCGTTTTAGTCGAGTTATTCGCTCTGCTTCGTTTTCAAGAACCCAACCCGTATACTTGCATAATTATGTGGCACTCATCTAGGATCCCTTAATGACGGTGCTACAATATTGTTGTTTTTTTAGGACCAGTGATTATAGATTCATAGCATTCTCAAGAATATTAATTAATTTACTTATGTACTCGTATAATCCATATCCATAGTTGCAATTAAGAGATGCAGAGTCAATATCAGTAGTGGAGTCAAGATAGATTTTGACTTCGTGAAAATTACTGGAAGAGAGAACTTTTTATTTTTCGCTTTGTAAAGTTGTCAGAAACAACATATAAAAAGTTACCAACTGTAGAGTGTACGCTAAATTATTTATTTAACAAATTAGTTGCAAAATTACAGTTTTTGCAAAATATATAAAAAAATATAATTAAAAAAAAATTTACTGCGCCATTCGAAAGGACAGGAAATTTTACATAAAAAATGTTAATAAAGTCTTTTTCTAAAATGCGAATTGAAGGCTGTAGAATTTTTTTTCTAACGTACGAAAAATGAGACGGGCGGACCCCAAGTATAGCTCCCGAAGTGCGCGCGGTCCCGAGCGCGCTACACTAAATCTGTTATAACTTTTGATCTAATTGATCAAATCGACCTCACAAAAATTTAAATGAAAGAAGAGTCATCCGGCTATCAAAATTTTATGTCTTTAAACTTGAGAAAATATATTACGTATACAAAGTTACGTCATTCTATAATTTTGTACAATAATAATAAAATAGCTGTAATTCTTTTAATTTATAAAATAAATATCTGTAACTTGCACAGATTGCTCTTCAAATGACGATTGAAACAGTGAGTGATATGGAAAAAATGTTAAAAATTTAATTTGAAAAAGCCCCACATATTCAATAATTTTAAAAAATCACAAATTTGACTTTTTAGGCCATATATTATAGATCAAAAAATATAGTTGTAAATGTGAATTTGAAACTTTATGAGAGCACTTCTTAAAGCTTAAAATCTCTACTTTAAGATGGTGCATTTTATTTTTGTTAAAAATTGAAATAATAGATGAAAAAACAAAAAATAACAAAAAATAAAAATATTTCATGAAAAATCCGTGAATAAATAAAGTTTAATAATGTACAAAATTTTATTTTTTTTGTTTAATAAACCATCAAAGAATTAAGTTAAGACCTTAAAAAAATAAATCCAGCGAAAAATAATTTCTTATTTATAGTAATACGTGGAAAATTGTTATAACAGCAAAAAAATAACGTTTTTTGATTAATTGATTTAATATTCATTTTTAAAACGTATATTCTGTATCTGAAATTGTGAATATAAGTTCTCTTATTGATGTAGACACAGATATGAGTCTAATATATATACAGGGTGTTCAAAAAGTTTGGAACCCCCCTCTATCTTAGAAAATATTGCTCAAACAAAAAGTGATTAGGACAAAAGTTGCAGGGTTTTGAGTGAGCAATCCAACGTTGACCTTGACCATGATCTTGAAGGTCATTTAGAGGTCAAGTTGAAAATTTTAAATGGAACCGTATACTTTTGATTTGATTGTTACAGTTTTATTTATTTTAAATGCGTTTTTCCTTTATAAGAATTATTATTATAAATGGTATAAGAACATGATTTTTATGTTTTCGAGTAAGCTGCAGTTATCAGTGTGTTAAAAAGTGTATTATTCACATATTTTGTCCATTTTGAGGTTATACTCTCGTACACTTGTAATTCTTTAATGTAATATTATTACTTAATATTACAAATAATCTTCAGTTTGCATTTAAGGTATTTATATTCGTTTTCTTTTATGCTAAACCTGTAAATGTATGAGTTTAATATTTATATATGAATATTGATCCATTTTTAAAATAATTAATGAATAAATAAATAATAGGGGACGTTGATTTTGATTTTGTAATTTTGTATTTAAAATCAGTGTTTTTTTTTCAATTTTATTGGCTTAAAGCCTTAATTGCCCAGTTATTTTTGAAGAAGAGCAAGAACTCGATGAGATTTAAAAATAAATTATTTTGTAATAAATTTGTTTTTTAAAAAATAAAACATATTTTCAATAAAACCTCTTTAGCCATTTATAATTTTCATTTTTCGAACCTCTATATTACAAATATGAGCGAGTTTGATTTAAAATCGATAATTGTTAAATAAATTGTTTAAAATAGTCGGCCATATTGGATCAGCCATTTTGAATTTTCATTTTCCGACATCATATTCTTGTTCAGCGACATCGAAAACCCCTATATTGTCAATTTGAAAGAATTCGATTTAAAATTCATTGAATTATTTTAAATGCTCTTAAAAAAATTATTAAAAAATTTATTATTGTTTAAACAATTAAAAAACAATTAGCTTACAAAAATAAGTTTATAACTTTTTTGTAATACTTATCTTCAAGTAATTTCAAAAGGTTTTAGGAAAATTCATGCTTCCCATAATTATTGCGAAGTAATGCGTAATTTTAAGCTATCTTGACTCCACTACAAAGTCATTGTCATTGATTGGGATTTATGAGAGAATAAGAATATAAATTCCGCATTGAATTGAACTCGGTCACCAGAACGTAATGTTATTCTTGCAACTTTGTGTATTCTAATAAGAGAAATTACCCTAAAGGTAACATCGCTATTAAACTGTTTTTATAAAACAAAGATCAAATATAGTTACTGTTAAAAGACGGGAACTACGGGTTTCCTAACAGAGATATTATGTCGTTTAATATGAGGATATATTTATCTAAGCATTACCCAAGAGCCGAGCTTGTTACAGAAAGAATAAAATGTAATATCTGCGCTTTAATGATTTTGGGTTGGTAGAAACTGTTTCGTGATATTATGGTTACTGTGATCTTCTCTATTACATGAAAGTTAACTGTGAGAAATACGTGTATTAAAGGTTTGTATTAATTTACATAACATTGTATATATTATGTTGAAGATGGATGAAAGGATTTGTGATTTTATACAAAATTACATAAGGGTTTGTAATAACAAGGATTGATTAATTTCTGTTTTATACAAATCATAGATAACTGTGTATGCGCTAGCGGGAACTAGTTCGAAACTAGTCAGAAATTTACGATGGAATAAGTTTCCCAATTGCATTAAACCTCCACAGACCGAGGCAACTAAAAGTTTTCATTTCAGATAATTTTATTAAAAAACCGAAAATTTTTTCCATTTCCTTATTTGTCTACTAAAATTATTTTATAAGCGCGACAAAGCGCCACGTCTATTTCGACGACAACTTATTTCTCTTACTGCATATTTTTTCTTTTGTGCGCAAATTTTTTGAAAAAACTTATATTACAAGAGTCTCATTAATTTGTCAAACAGACTCAACTACAGTCCGTACGATATTTGTTGAGATATAATTCCAACAAGACCCCTGCGTCACATTCATGGAATTACCCGCATTCGACACCCGAGGGAGAAAGATATTGGCGGAAAATTTTAAGGCATGTCCCTGCCTCTGTTACAGTAGTTCCCATAACAGAATTTTATTGTTTTTTTTCTTGGAATTCCATCAACAAATATTGTACGGACTGTAATGTATTTTGAAATTCTTAGTGGCGAAACTGGGGTTGTGATATAGTAGTCCTGCATATTTATAAAAAACAATGATACGATTGTACACTTATGCATGTTGTTTCTAAAATATTGTACCGTACCATATAAAATCAGGATGTGGAAAATGTTAATAAGTATGGTTCCGAAAAAGTTTTTTTTTAAATAACCAAAATCAAATTGGATATAGATTTTTAGTTTATCAATTACAATGATCCCAAAGGGAAATAGTTTTTTACTTATCTACAGGGATATATGGTAATCGGGAGTTTTTTTTATCTAATAATATTCCATTGTAGTCGAAGAAAACGGTTAGAAGGACCTTCACATTTGACCAGACTTGACGTGCTATTTTTAATTTTGGCTCTTCATAAAACTTCTATTGAGACCATTGACTCTTCGTTTCGACGTTGTAGCCATATGGTCATATGGGTATATACTCACGTCTCGTCACGAACTATAACGCATCTGAGACATCAGTAAGCGTTTGTTCATCGATGGTTAGTTTTGAAACAAATTTTACTGCCACTCGTTTGATATTCAAAACATTCGTAAAAATTGCTTCGCATGAGCCGTATAAAATTCCTATTTCTTCAGCAACCTCTCTGATGGTGATTCTTCTATTAGCAAGCACTTGGATGTCTTCTCGGTCTTCCTAACGTGTTTGTACCATTGATAAACTTGTGGCTATAACAGTATGACCTTCAAATAATTTCAATTCGCTACACTTAATTTCGTTTTAACACAAAATTTATGACAAATTCTTTGATCCGACATTTCTCTACAAAAAAAGTCGCCATAAACACTTAAATAAGTCTTATTAGAGTTATTTGCTCGTAAAATTGACAGGTACGTCACACAGTGCTACTAATACATAAAAAAGAATCAATTCAATAGACAGATACAGCACGCGCAATTTGAAAATTCTCGTTACTTTTTGACCGAACCTCGTATACATAACTAATACTAATTGTGGAG